ACTGGATAGGCTAACAAAAAAATTAAAATGCAACAACACTTACATCGTCATCACATCTTGTGCGCCACTGATAAGGCTGCCTCCTTAACGCACACCTAAAATTCGAATGCAACGTTTTTGCATTCAAATGTGGATTTTTATTTTTAAATTTGACGAATATTCGAAACGGAATTTTTTTTTTCTGATAGCCCCAACATAAATGGCTTTATTTTAATGTGATTTGCTGAATAAAATTAGTAATTTCTTAAATAAAAAATTATATTACTGAACCCCAACTTTTAAGTGGTTGCATACACTTCAGATAATATATAAAGATCTAGTTGAATAATAAGTTACTTTTTCCAATCTACCCTAGGCCATGTGGCTTGGATACCCAGGCACCAGTGGAGCTCCGTTCATGGACTACATTATCACTGATAAGGAGACGTCTCCTTTTGAGGTTGCAGAGCAGTACTCTGAGAAAATGGCCTACATGCCGAACACTTTCTTCATTGGAGATCATGCCAATATGTTCCCTCACCTCAAGGCTAGTTTGAGTCTCTAATCACATTTTTTAAATCTATAGCAGAGAATGAGGCTCATGGTTTTCTTTTTTTAACCAATAGAAAAAAGCGGTGATAGACTTCAAGTCAAATGGCCATATTTTTGACAATCGCATTGTACTGAATGGCATTGATCTGAAAGCCTTCCTGGAAAGCCTGCCAGACATCAAAATTGTGAAGGTTTGTGAAGAAATCACTGCTTTAGTGCATTCCATTACCCTGTTAAACAGACATGCTAATGTTTCTTTCTCATTATTCTCCTACTTTCAGATGGAATGTGATGGTCAAGAGTCCACTGACAGTAACGGTGCCCTCTCCATGCCCGTCATCCCTATGAACACAGCCGCTGAGGCCATCATTAACATGATCAACCAGGGCCAGATCCAGGTCACCATCAACGGCTTTACGGTCAGCAACGGCCTGGCCACCACTCAGGTACGGCCCATCGTAGGCCCTCAGTCATTGGACTTCACTTAGATGATTTCACTGCAATTTCACTAACTTGACTGCTTTGAAAATCGGGTTCTCCCTGGCTGTGGGGTCTTGGCTTGCTCTCAGACTGGGATTTAGTCCCGTCCATCCTTCTTAGCATGACAGATCGGTGGATATTTGACCACATTTACATGCACATCATTTTTCTGGTTAAGCCTTCATTCTGAGAAAGAGAGTTACATGCACGCTGTTTTACATTTCTTTTAATTTTGTTTGGACAAGTGCATATATAAATGAATATTCCATTGAATAATTGGTTAAGTGTTTGTTAACTGGAATATTAGGTTAAAGTGTTTACATGAATCACGCTCACAATATCAGTTTCTGATTAATGATCAAATTCTGAGTATTCTTCTGTGGTCAGTGACACCTCTGTCATGCCCAAATCGACAACGTGTAATTCTTTATCGAGATTTAGTGGTGTGAAGTAGGGGTGTGGGATATATATTGTCTGCGATAATTTCGTAATTGTTGTTTTAACGATGTGCGATTTGACATTATCGAGTATTTTGCAAAAACCATTCAAAACATCCCTACAGAGCGCACGCATACATTAACTTACGTGAAGTCTAGACTAGTGCGTGTGCGCATTTAGAGTGTTTTCTTTCACTGCATGATTCAGTCTATTAAAATGCATTTAGAATGATCACAAAATTCAAGATATGGGGACAGAAAATGTAAATATTTACAAAGGTACCAGCACAATAACACACTCAGCAAAATATCGTCTAATTATCGTTATTGATAAAATCCCAGAAAATATCGAGATGTAATCTTTTGTCAATATCGCACACCCCTAGTGTGAAGGTGTTTTTATCGGAATGTGGCTGTATTTGCTCTTGTGCCATTTGTATTTGCACATGAGAGACTTAATTTCTCTCAGACTGGTGGTGGAAAATTATTCTGATGACCTCAGTTTCGTCCTTCGATCATCTCGAAAATCTGGCAAAAAGACAATTTTATAGTAGGCAGAGCCAGTGTATTACCACATGTTGTTGTTTTTCAGATTTTTACAGTGGAGGAGGTTATAGTATCTGGGACTGTAGCCTTGCAGGTATGGCACACACAAGCTGGATGAGAATAGCATGCTTTGAGACAGAATGTGCAATAGCCATTTTTCCCTACACTTGGGCCTTCACACCACTGCTGTAGGTGGCACAAACATGGTGGCGGAGAAGTTGAAAGGCTTCTAGGGATGGGCGACAGTTATAGGGCACATGCTTGTCTTTTCAGTACCTAAACTGTTAACTCATCTGTTCTTAAATCTTTCTGTTTAGATTAATAACAAAGCAGCAACAGGAGAAGAAGTTCCCAGAACAATCGTGGTGACCACCCGCTCGCAATATGGCCTCCCTGAAGACTCTATTGTCTATTGCAACTTCAACCAGCTCTATAAGATTGACCCTCCCACCCTGCAGATGTGGGCCAATGTAAGAATATCATTATTTTTTTTAATCAGTTCTACATGACTAGAGAAAACAGACTTTTGTGGACTTCAACACCCATAATGCACTTTTAATTTTGGTGCCTTTTAGTGGTCGACCGATATTGGTTTTTTGACAGCCGATGCCGATATCTTGGAAAGCAGGGTGGCCGATATAAAGCCGATATAATTGTATTTATTTTAATTCATATTTAAGAAATTTGAAATCATTTGAAAATTGATAAAAAATAAATAAATGTGTTAAATAAACATACTTATACTTTAGATGACAAAGTATTTTTCACAAATAAATAAATATTTAATAAAAATATAATTAAAAAGGAAGTAAACACTGTAACCAACAGGTCACTCAGTATTCTGGGAAGTTTGTGTGCATTAATCATATTTTTTCAAATAAAGCCAAGGTAACACTCATTTTACATACAGCACACAGTGAAAATGACATGAATATGACAGTGGGCAAATGCATAAAGCGCAGCATAATTTAAAATCATGAGTTTAAAGTTTGTCAATCGCGTGTCTCAGTGGAGCTGAACTCTCCCCCTGTCCGCGTTCAATTCACACGGACCGACCGTCACGCAGAGAACACGCGATCATGCAGGTCACATGCACACTTCACAAGAGCTCACAACTGGATCCGACCAAGTTTGCAAGGTTTTTGAAATTAGATGTTAATTAGACATTCAAAGATTTGTTTTTAATTATATAAATGCGTATTTGCTTTTCTATCCGAATTTTACTAAATTAATTTTACTAAATTCTATCCGTATTTAGACAGAACCGTTAAAGGGGTCATATGATGTTGCTAAACAGAACATTATTTTGTGTATTTGGTGTAATGAAATGTGTTTATGCGGTTTAAGGTTAAAAAAACACATTATTTTCCACATACTGTACATTATTGTTTCTCCTCTATGCCCTGCCTTTCTGAAACGCGTCGATTTACAAAGCTGATCGGTCTGAAAAGCGAGGTGTGCTCTGATTGGCCAGCTATCCAGTGCGTTGTGATTGGCCGAATACCTCAAGCGTGTGATGGAGCGGCGGCGGCAACAATACTACAGCGAGAATAAAAGTTACGCCTTCTTTCTTTGCATGAACATTTGGGGCGGCGTTATGCAAATCTTTCCACATCGTGACATAGACTTGTGGGGGCATGTTAGAACGAGGCGTTTTAGGTAGGCATGGTTGACTCTTAACTTCTATAAAGAATATCTCTTTGGATTTGAGACTTTAGTCTTTGCAACTTTACAGATCTTCTTTATGCACCAAGAGCTTGTAACACTCCAAAGAGAAAGGAAAAATTGAAATCGCATCATATGACCCCTTTAACGACAACAGCGAACAAGAGAGAGAATGTGAGCACTGTGTGTTCAGGTGCTGCCGCTCTCAGCGCCGTCAAAATAAAAGTCCCGCCTCGAACGCATCGGCCAAACAGGAAAACTTATCGGCCGATGCCGATATTTGAAAAATGCCAAATATCGGCCGATATATCGGTCGACCACTGGTGCCTTTACTCTTGTCATTCCCACTGTCTGGGCGGGAATACAGAATGCAGAAGTTCGATCTATAATTTTAACAGAAACCATTGATCTGTCAAAAGTCCCACGGGTAATGCAAAATGGTGCATTTTTCGTTATCCGGTAGACTTTTGCTGACAAACAAATGGTGATATCTGGGTCCAGGTTACACAGAGAAAGAGTACATGTACATTTACATATACTACTGGCATTACAACAATACAAAGCTGGTTAAAAATAAGCAAACTCGTGCTTTAAAGGGCTTTTATTATTCAACCAAATATGAAAATTGTCTTCATTTACTCATCCTCGTGTTGTTCCAAACATGTATGAATTTCTTTCTTCTGGTGAACACAAAATGATTTTGAAGAATGTTTCTGGTAACCAAACAGTTGCTGGTCCCCTTTGACTTCTATAGTATGATACAAATACTGTGAAATTCAGTAGCAACTGTTTGGTTACCAACATTCTTCAAAATATCTTTTCTTTTTTTTTTAAATCTTTTTAAAATTTATTTCAGCTAATTATATTGTATATCTCAAATTTAGTCATTCCGTTTTATTTATTTTAATAAAAATAATTCAGAATATTATTTTTTTCAACCAAACAGCCTTTGTTGCAAAGTAGATTTAAAAGCTGCTTTTGAATCACTGTCAGACCAAACCCTTCTCACTACATGCCGTGCTGAACGAATCTCAAATGGAAATATGACGAAACCGTTCCTTACCTTACTATTCTTAGAACCGTTCAGTTTCACAAAATGAACACAATGAAATATTGAATCATTTTTGTTTTTATTTACACTTAAAATAAGGTGAGCAGCTGTAGTTACCTACACATAATAGAGAGTTCTGTAAACATTTTTAGTAATGACTCAAATTGTTGAAGTAAATCAAAGTCATCGATTTTTGAATGGGTTCATTGAAGGCAACAGCATGTACTCATTGTGAAACTGATTGTCTGGCAGCTCTACTCACTGTGCTCTCGGTTCTGTAGATCCTGAAGCGTGTGCCCAACAGTGTGATTTGGCTGCTGCGCTTCCCGGCCGTGGGTGAGCCCAATATCCAACAGTACGCTCAGAACCTGGGCCTGCCTGCCTCTCGCATCATCTTCTCCCCCGTGGCTCCCAAAGAGGAGCATGTGCGACGTGGACAGCTGGCTGATGTGTGCCTGGACACGCCGCTCTGTAACGGACACACCACAGGCATGGATGTGCTGTGGGCTGGTACCCCCATGGTTACTATGCCAGGTAATACAAGCTAGGAGCACACGCTAAACATGGTCAAAAATATTGCACCTCTTAATTTACAGGCATCAGCTAGCAGTGCTAGGTAGATTACTTACAAATTGTAGTCTGTTACTGATTCCAAATTACATGACGAAAATTGTAGTTTGTCAAGTCACCTTTATTTGTGTAGCGCTTTTAACAATACAGATTGTCAAATAGGGGTGTGGGATATGACGATTTTTGATCGTGGACGATAAAAATGTCTCGACGATCTGCTTTTGGAGAAATATCGTAGTATCGTGCTACAGAGCACATTCTATCAGCTGCAGTTCTGACGCCTCTATCTCAATATACTGTACAACGCCACATACATTCACATCAGTGTTAACTCAGCGGTCGAGTTGCTCTCACGAGACACTGCACTTATTCACAATCACAAAAGTACATTATTTGCATATACTTTAAAGCCTTGCCAGTTAAACATTTAATTCGCGCGCTCTTCTGACGTGCGCTATTTCTGAGAGCAAAAAAGACTGTGGAATACTATTTTCCATGTTCTTCAAAATAGCTTTTATGTTCAGCAGAAGAAAGAAACTCATTCAGGTTTAAAACAACTTTTGAGTGAGTGAATGATGGTATAAAAATAAAATACTATGACAGAATTGACAGACAGATGAAAGAATTTATATTTTTGGGTGAACTATTCCTTTAATGTTAATAAAACAACAAAACACAAAGAGAAAAATCACTCACTAGCCTACTCTTGACTGAAAAACTTTAATACAGTTGCTTTAATAGGAATCAATCTATATAGTGTTTTATTTTGATATTTGTTCATTCAGTTTCTTGAATGCTACTGCTAAATACACCTATTGTACTTGAAAATAAAACACTGTTTGTTTTATTTGTATATTATGTGTATTTGTAATGTGTATCTTTGTTCTTATTTTTTAATAACAAAGATAAAATAATGACAAAGATTTTGATCTTCACCCACTTTGGCCTAATTCTTTAAAACTTTGTTACCTTGAAAGGTTTTGTTTTTATAATAGGGAAATTAGATTGGCTGTAATGCTCAGACAACTTGGTTAAAATAGTAAACCAGCATGACAAAGAATTGTGATTAAAATCGTGAATCGTGATGTTTCTAAAAAAAAAAAAATTGTGATATGACATTTTTGCCATATTGCCCACCCCTAGTGTCAAAGCAGCTTTACAGTATTAAATAGTAAAAATAGTTTGTAATAATGCAAAAGAACAACAGTAAACACTCAATTTTCGGTTAAAGTTAGTAACGTAATCCATTACATTTAGGGCTGTCGCGATTCGTTGATTTTATTCGACTATTCGATTTTTAAAAATCCTCGACTTCATTTTGCTCGCGTCGACTAACCGGCAAAATACTGGAAGTGGCGCATTTCATGGACGAGAATCCATAAAACACATTATTAGACTTTTTTTCAAGGCTGCATGATATATTAAACCCATTTAAAAATCATAATTAAGCATAATTGTGAGTTCACAAATGCTACAATTTAATTAAATAATTATATGCGATGCAGTTCTAATACAGTATATGCGCTTTAATTATTTACATGCGTGTAGGTTAAGTACATGCGTCACACAGCGGCTCCGTTCACAGTAGTTCCACAGGAACTGCGTTGGCGCCCTCTGCAGGCCTTTGTTGTAATGCGTAATGTACATTAGCTCTATTGTTTAATACATTATGTATTTTAACAATTTTGTTCAATAAAACCATATGATTTCTTGCTTTTGATACTTTATTTTAACTAATTATTATTGCCTCGTTGCAATTATATATGTATTTTAAGTAATTTTAAAGGCTATTGTTAACTTGCATCTATTTTTATTACCACAAACAAATTTATTATAATTATAGGGCCCTATGAAATCCGATTAATAAAACTAATAAAATTGATTTTATAAAAAAAAAAAAAAAAAAATGTTAAATAGTTTTTATTTTTTTAGAAATACTGCACATTTACATTTTTCTCCTAAATAAATTCTGGTAAATAATATTTCTGGTAAATACTGCTTTAAAAAGTGTTTTTTGATTATGATTTTATTATTAGTAGACTAGAACACGTGGACATGTTGTCATTCTTACACTATAATACTGAACTTTGATTTCAGTGATTTGGACTATGAGATGGACACTTGCTTCTTGCACTTTATGTTGCACTTTTGCTTTAAAAAAAGGATTTCATAGAAATTTGGATTTCATTTGGTTTAATAAAATATTCTTAAGTAAAATTGTTGATTTTTTGTGGGAAATTAATCATTTAGATTAATCGTGTCGATAGATTAATCGAAATAAAAATAGTCGTTAGTGTACATTTACACATTTTAGGTAATATAATCAGACTACTTTTTGATTACTTTTGACCTACCTTGTTTATCACATTGATTTAAATATAATCTTATTGCTATAAAAGAAAAACATACGTTCTTTGTTATAAACCACACAAAGTGCATTAAACATTACATTGTCAAAATTTCCCAGTTTAATGAAAGCTGATTAAATAAAGTAAAATAAAAAAAATCATTTTTAAATAACAATAAAACACTTACTAAAAAGATAAAATATTTGTTTGCATGTCATTTGACCATTATCCAACGTCAGAGAACCTTGAACATGCAAATGATTTAATTGTTAACTTGTTACCTTAAAATCTCAGGGGGTACGTCAAGTAAATATATCAGGTGACCAAAAAAAAATACTTTGACTGTCAATGTCTGTTGTGTATACACAATGTGGATAAGCTACAGCAGGTAAACAAACTACAGTAGTCCTGGACTAACAATATTGATTTGAATTGATCTTCATTTTGATGAATTGAGATCTTTTAGATTTCAGTTTTCTTTTAGTGATCTTTTCATGGCCTTTCAGTTATAGTGTGGCTAACTCTAAACATTTTGGTTTTGGTTTTTGGCTAAATGAAACATTAGTTTCAGTAAAAATTGATTTTGGTGCATCACTGGTATCAACCTATTTTGTATTAGTGTGAATTGTAAGCAATAACTATTGGTATTGCTGATACTTAGGGTTAGTGGTTTGTTCAGATGACTCTACAGCTGAACTCACAGCCTTTCAAAGTATCCTCCATTTAGTATACTTAGTAATTGGATAGCATGCTTGACACGCACGCACAGTGTTTGCACTATTTATCTCCAGAAGTTATGACCGATGAAATTGTCTTTGTATTTATTAATTTTTTTACTGAAGTAATATTTATAGACCTTTTTCACATTTCCGGGTTTCTCAGCAGTGAATGGGAGAGTACCACAAATATATTTTTTTGCATTCCCATTTGCTCAAATAGCAAAAGAAAATCTCAACGATAGTGTTTTCACGGCTTTCGAATAAAAGAAACAAATTGAGAGAGACTGATAACGGCAGTCAGAAGAGAGAACGATGTCAAATTTACCGTCTCTCCCATAGACGCTGCATTAGAAACACCCTCGCTTTAGCATTAACAATTTTTTTTTGTAGTTTCATGTAAAGGTGATATAATACAAAGTATAGTGTTTTAAATGTACATACATTTAAACAAAATCTAAATATAAAAAACTTTTGAGGATTTATGAATGCTGATGACCGTTGAAACACGTCGTCACAGTCTTGTGAAAAGGGTCCATTAAAACAGAAACTCAAAAGATCTTTACAACTCACCAAAATAAAAGTTGGTTCTAAAAACGATAATAAGTAAGGAATAATTGATGACGGGTCATTGAATTCTTAGAAAATAATGTCGGGTGTGCATTATTTTCTAAGAATTCAACAGACTGAAGTCAATTATTCTGCTTATACTACGGCTACCACACCTCAAGACATCGATCAGATGATATATTTCAAGGCATTTGTCCGGGTTTTGTATTTAAAACGCTATTGTAAGTAGTAGGGGTGCTCCGATTGATCGGCTACCGATCACTATCGGCCGATAATTGCTTTGGGATTATTGATCGGCGGTCTCTAAAAAGGCCGATCTCAAAAAACCGAGCTCAAGCTGATGACGCGCCTGCCGTGAGAGGTTTGGCACGACATGCAGTGGCACCGTCTCAGTCTCTGTCCGGCGCGGGTGAAATAATTATAATGCTGAAGGTGAGGTACTCTTATTTCTTCACTAAATAACTTCTAAAGTAATTTGTAAACCTTGTGTGAGACATAATTTCACAAACAGCGAGAGTGAATGACCGCGCGCGATCTCTCAAAATACGCAAATGTCTTCAAATCACCCCATCACGTCTGTCTATAAGCAAGCTACACGCTGCACAGTTGACAGGAATTGTCACTTGCACAATCGAGGCAGTGTCACATCGTCACTAAAGTTTATAAATTGCATTACTTTTTCATTCTTGCCAGTGTGTTTAACCATTCAGCGCTCCTGAAGACCGTGTGCTCACGCACACTTGCAGCGCACGCATATAACGCCAGGTTCACATTACTCCGATTGCAGTGCGAATGTGGTGTGTATTTTTTCCGCGCTCATGTTAATGGATTAAAGCGTGCACACTGCACACCATTGCAGTCTGGCAGTGCGTTCGGGGGCGGTGCGTCTGCAGCAGTGCAGAGATCGTTTCTGCACTGAGTCTATTGCTGCGCTGCAAGCGCTGAATTAAAGTAACCGTGCATTGTTTGCAGAAGAGCACTTTTAGATAAACAAGGCAATAATAGATGGCAGGTAGGAAAACAAAGTTCTTTATAAACCGCAGGATTGCTTGTAATAAAGATTTAAATGCAAAAGAAAAGGCAGTAGAGCTGACTATTTCTGTCAATGGTAAGTTTGTGATAACGTAAGAAAAGTAGTTTAAATGTTTTGCCACTTGCTTGAGCAACTTAATATATAAATCTAGAAGTAAATGCAAAAGTAAAAAGCATTGAATAATGTGTTGCTTATATTTGTGTTTAAGCATGTCTGTGAAAGATTGTATTACTGTACGGTGTAAAAAAAATCACAATGCTGAAAAAGCATTTTCAGTGACAATGTTTGGATTTGAAGATCAGTATCGGTGATCGATACCGGCAGATTAGTGATGCGCTGATGAGCTAAAACGTCACCCGAATCCGCAGCTTCAAATAAATTATCCACCCGCCAACCGCCCGCACCTGTATTTTTGTCTGATTTAGATAACCGCACCCGATCATCACATTAGGGTTCGTACAGTCATAAAAAATCTGGAAAAGTCATTGAACAACAATTTCCAGGCCTAGAAAGTTTTGTAAAAATAAATAAACTCAAAAAGTTTTTGAAAAGTCATGAAAATCTATTTCACAATTCTCTGTATAATAGAATTATGTTTAATCAGATCCTGAATTTCGTTGCGGGATTGCGCATACATCACATTACTCATTCCCGCAGCTTTCGACTTTAAAATGAGGGAAATTACTGCAAAACCTTTATTCAATATAGCGTGTAGTGATTTAGATAATCGCACCTGATCATCACATTAGGGTTCGTACGGTCATGAAAAACCTGGAAAAGTCATTAAACAGCAATTTCCAGGCCTAGAAAGTTATGTTAAAAGTAAATACTCGAAAGTTTTTGAAAAGTCATGAAAATCTATTTCACAATTCTCTGTATAATAGAATTATGTTTAATCAGATCCTGAATTTCGTTGCGGGATTGCGCATACATCGCATTACTCATTCCCGCAGCTTTCGACTTTAAAATGAGGGAAATTACTGCAAAACCTTTATTCAATATAGTGTGTAGGTTAGATGAGTAAATAAATCCACACAAACCATCAGATGAAAACAGCGTAGGTGATTCAGCTGTACCGGGTCACATTTCACTTCACATTGACACATCTAGAGCTGCTGCACGCTGCGATAGAAGACTTTAGCTCGCGTTTCAGGACAGTTGACAGAATTGTCAATTGCCTGATCGGTCATTGTTGCATCGTCACAAAAATGTATTATTTTCACGTCTTTTTAAGCCATTCGGTACTCGAGCTCTCCAGAGGGGCGTGCGCTCAGTCACATCCAAAGCGTGTACTGCAAGTACCAAATTGAGAAAGTACTGTCGGTTTTGTCTTAAGTTAATGTAAACAGTTGCAAAATAAAACGCACGAGTATCAGTATTGGA